TGTTCTTCCAAACTATCCTCTACATCTATGCCAAAATTCATCGAGATCCGTCCAACAGTGGCTACAAACTCTAACAAACAGCCGTCCATATAAACTATCGCATTTAAAATATTAGTAAGAAGTAAGATTTATGAAATTTCCGTCTGTTTATGACATTTCAGTTTAAGAAAAAAACACCAGTCATATTACGTCCATACATCTTGACCGTCCCTTAACGCAATTTCATGCCGCAATACATCGATGCTTACGTTAACTGTATTCTACTGAATTTTCCTTTCCACGCATCAATGGATACACTAGAAATGCTACAAATTGTTTAGAATTTGCAAGTAATTGTATCACAATAGGAAGTTAATAGGGATATCTATTTCTTACTTTAAAATGTTTAACAATATAACAAATTAAGACGACTCAACGGACCGATGATTTGCATTTTCATAGCAATAGAAAATTGAATCTCAACTTTAGGGACATTGTTATATTTTCCCTCCTTTTTGAGTTTTATGGTAAGCAAATCACGGACTTCATCCCTCATAGAATTCAATTCAATACTTCATAATATCGGTTTGCATTGATTTTAAACTTGTATGAAAAATGGTCTCTACGATGAAAAAAGAGTGTTATTTTAAAACTATATTAATATAATAAAACGTAAAACACTATTTCGTGGCGTAGGATGTCAGCAATCATAGCATATTTTTGAATAATTCTTTATTTAATAAAAAGCCCAACACTTACGTCACGCTTTAGGCTATAAATTTTCACGTCATTAAACTTAGAGGGTAAATATTTTGGATAAAAACCCTAATGTGGAAAAGAGACCATAAGTTGCTGCCAACATCAAGGAAGCAAGATTGCTAAGGTTTGATGTCATGTCATTTTGACATTTGACAAGTAAAATTTTCATAATTTCATGCGGATGAAGCCGCACGGGAACAGCTAGTATTATTATAGACTAGCTGTTGTTTGCGAGTCCGCCCGCATGAAATTAAAAAAAATATACCCTATGGTACTCACTCATAAATTACCTTTCTAACGGTAAAAGAATTATTAAAATCGGCCCTGTAGTTTTTGAGTTTGATTTGAGTTTGAGAGTTGAATTCAATACATACAAAAATACAAATTGTTCCTCTTTATAATATTACTATAGATTGGAATTAGCATTCGGTCGTAAATCTGAGAAACAAAGTTTAAATGGTATGATGAGTGTAGAAAATTTAAGGAAGTTAGCTTTAGAATGTTTTAACATCTTTGTTACTGTGGACGCGACATAATATAATACACCATGTAATACATCGATATATACAGAATGCATTATGCATTAGAACTACAAGTTACAGGAATAAGCGATTTTATTGGCACATATGTTGAAACTGTGTAAAATATGGAGTTGGTAAAGTTCTACAATAACGATTGAAAAAAATGACAATCTATAGGTTTATGTTTAGACAACTTGTTGGAGATTTTGTTAGCCTGAAATTAAAAAATCAAAATATAGCCTATGTTACTCACAGATAAATTACCTTTCCAATGCTGAAAGAATTATTGAAATCGGCCCAGTAGTTTTTACGTCAAATACGCACGTAAATACAAATTTTTCCTCTTTATAATATTAGTAAAGATAGATGGATGTTAGTTAAAAGATATCTCTAGAACGTCTTATTGGATTTCAATGAAGTATGAAGCACAGATATAGAGCAAAATCTGGATATATGGTCTAATCAGTTTTCTTTTTTAATGTACGCGGACGGAGTCGCAGTCAAAAGTTAGTACACATCGATCTCAAGGTTAGTCATCGGTTTTATTAATAAACAGTCTATATTATACGTTTTTAGGTCGCAAGTTTACTATAGTTGTGAAATTTAATGATTTGCACCACGCGGCAATATCTCGGAACGCAAGCGCCCAGGTCCCGAGCGTCCGACACTTTTTCAAAATCGTGACTCGCCCGGAGTCGCACCGTCACGACCTCTGTACCGTTAGCAGAAACACCGCACTTCCTGCTCTCTCCCATGTGCTATTTAATAAGCGTGAAAGAGACATGTGTAACCATTTACCCCGAAGGATAACCAGAGGCTCTTTTGTTTTTACTTGACGCATTATGATTTTGTTCCTAGGTTTTTAGTACTGGACTAGTCAATTTAATGTTTGTTTAATTTTCTAAAATTTTCAATAGATGGCGTGATTTTGCATATAAGTATGCTTGAATATTTTACATCTTAAGTATAATGGACGTCGATGTGCTCAGTATTGTGATGCAATACCCTTGAGAAATAATTCTATAGATTGCGTTATCTTATACCAACAATAAGTATTGACAAGGCAAAATATTATAAAGGTAATTGAGCTAGTAATTAATTTTAAAGGCTAGAAAGTCGACAGACTCGTGTTAAAATCGAGCAAGCCGAGACTTATTATAAAAAGACTGTTTCTTTTATTTAATTTAACTTTCTTTTAAAGGATCATAAAAACGCTTCTAGGTTATTTATTGCAAATTTATAATTCCACATATTAGAAGGGACATATTGCATATCAATACAAATATTATAAAGAGGAAAGATTTTTATTTTTGTATCTATTGAGATAACTCAAAAACTACTGGGCCGATGTAAAAAATTCTTACACCATTAAAAAGCTACATTATCAGTTAGTAATATAGGCTACTTTTTAAAATTTAATATGGACAAAGTAGAAACACCTAGATATAAACTCCTATTGACTTGTGCAATAAATTTAGTCTGTAATTTTTTTATTGGAATAAATAAAATTTAAAACCATATCTTGACACCCGTTTTAATATTAGACGAATGGCTTAATTTACTGGGTGTCAGTAATTCTTATATTATAAGAGCAAAACAATGGAACAAATTATCTCGTTTGTTGCTGACTCGGAACTAAAGAAGGTGCATTTGTCTCTGCCCCACTTGACACTCGACCATAGTTTTGGTCCATCCATTTAATTAAATAGTTTGGTCATTAAATGAAATATAACGATTGAACTATTACAATCCAGATTTTATTGAAAGTTCTACCGCAAAGCGCTCACATCGTAAAGTTAAGACTATGTCCCCTACTATCGGTTCTCATATAAAACTCGACAGGTTGCGATTATCCGCCACCAGCCACGACGTCTGCCGGTTTCCGACGAGACACTTTCGCTAACATGCATCTCCTCTGATATCAATAGACTGTATCGATTTATTGATATTTTACAATGTAACATTAACATATATAAAGATGAAAAAAATGTACTTTTGTATGTATGAAATAACTCAAAAACTACTATTACGAATTTAAAAATTATTTTACCGTTACGAAGGTAGTTTATCTGTGAGTAACATAGGCTACATATATTTTTTTGTATTGCCTAATTTCACACGGAACATCGCAAGCATCAGCTAGTATTGATATATTTACGTTTAATATTACTGAAACATTTCCATGTATGTCTCAAATCCATTTTAATTGTTAAGAATATTTTAAAAATAATTCTATTCCAGTAATTATTTACTTTTAAATAAAAAAAATGTCAGACTAACTTAACTTCGGTAAAACCATATATTTTTATTAATATATCTGTGTTAGATTGCTTTTAAGTTAAAACGTTGTGTAAAAGTTATTCATCAAATGAATGTGAAAATAAAAGGGAAAATATTTAAAAGCGCGGTACAGTAGTTCAAAGCATTGTACGCTGTCACTGGATATCCAACTCATGAAAGGAGTTACTAATACACTAGACCACAGACCAAACTAACTTGATCCCCCATGTCCGCGGTATTATCTAATTTCAACATAAAAGCGAGTATTCAGTTACGCTGGCCAGGTACGCCCGAGGGTACTATGAATATGCAATGCCAATAAATGTAGTTTTATCCACGCTAGTAACTTTCTCCGTTGACGGCCAACTCCGCCGTCACACTACGACTAAATATATTCTAGATTATCATACATTATTTATGACTTCGAGAACTTGTAGTAACGAAATGTCAAAACGTTTTTAAACTTTAATCGATAGTGTTGTCATTAATTAATATCGATTTTATAACTTTTTTATTTTATTTTATTGCTTTATGTATTTTCATCGAGTTTTACTTAGTTCAATTTATATTACGATAGAAATTTTCGTTTACGTAACTGCTCGTTTGTCATGTCTTGTAATTAAATCTAGGCATTGGGCGTGGTGAATACGAGTAATGCAACACTCCTAAAGGAGTGTTTATTAATTATTACATAAGTGAATAAAATAAAAGGAATTAGTAGAAAGAGAAATGAAACAATGTTAGTTTTTAATAAATTACCGAAATGTATTAATGAAAATAATAAATTAAGAAATTATATACATGAAATAAATAATTATCTAACGTATGTACGAATTACTAATATTTACATATTAAATATTTTCAAGTTATTAAATTAATATCACTATCACAAATATTCCGTCTTTAGAGTAACAATAAGTCGCTGACTCCCCGTGACGTCAGTTTGACTGGATTTCAAGGAGCGTGAGTTATTATCCCCGTATACAACTCGATTATTAAACGCTCTACGATCGGAACGATCTACTCTTAATGCCAAACGGCAAACGCAAACATCCACCACCCTAAATGGTCAAAATCCCTTCACGTAGCGTCAACCACCTTGATCTGACTTAGGCTTACCGCTCCCACTGTCCCAGATCTTAAACGATGTACTTGGCTCAGGTATCCGAGGACTACTAGTGTAGTTTGGAGGAAGACGGGTCGGTGTGGAGAGGAAGCTTCCGTAAGATAAAGAGGAATTGACGCCCAAAGACGTGTCAAGCGTTGAATAGTACCCCGAAGAAGCGGCCGAGGGTGGCGGTGGCGCTGACGGTTGCTGTACCCGAGCGGCCTCGGCGTACGCGTCCAGGTGAGTTCTAACCAGCACTAAAAGTTCACCATAGTTGGTTACAGAGCCAGCAGCGCCCGCCACCCTGTAAAGCAACAGCCGCGCTTCCCCGAAAAGACTGTCCAAAATTTTACCTGTCGTGAAGAGGACGATCGCCTTCAGACAGGA